GCTAAAATAGAAATTAAGGCAGGATATAAATAAATATTGATATATTCAAAATTCGTTACAATCCAGCCCTCCCAGTTTGGCCCAGTTGTGTCCACACACCTGTGTCAATAAAGAAAAATAAAACCTGGCAAGTACGAGTAGACCCTAGCGACCATGAAACCAGTGGTATTTTTCTCTTAATGAATGAAAGAAACAAAAAAGTAGCAGCTGTTGACAATTTTATTTAGCTTGCTCATACCGACAACAAAATATTCATAACAAACAAGTGCGCAAGGTATCCGATTTAGAATTTGATAAATTTTATTTAACCACCAGAATTTTGTCTGTAAAGTTATTCTATAGAACACGAGGTGCTATTAATTTTCACTAGCGATGTCTAACAGATAAAAGACCAATTCATTTAGTGGAAAATAAACGAAAAGGTTTTGTTAATTTATTATTTACGTAGGTAATGGAATAAAGTAAGGTGACAAAACCAGGCGGCCTACTAAAGCAAACAGTTTTAGAGTAATTCGGGTATATTTGTCTTTCGCGCTCGCCTTTAAACGCCGGTATGAGTGAAGGACATGGACAGAGAGGATTTATCGCAATTGTTTGCCGTGTTAGACAGATCTAATCTTCGGTCTAGACCGAACACCTGGTTTCGAGTTCGCCCTGAAATCAGACGCTTTTCCGAAATTCTGGGAAAATAATAGATGGTTTAACAACGCAGATAACCTCATAATAAAAAATGTGCTAAGTTGATTATTCCAGTAGAGGCAGGATCGTACGTATCCCAAGCCGAAGGTGAAACCGTGATGGAACTGAGTGTACAGGGTCTTGTTGTCTACAGACGACGGCACATCAAACTAAACAACTTTCAATCTTATGCAGTTCTTATAGATGCGGTTTTATAATAAATTTAAATGTATAATATTAAATGCCATCGACTAAGTATACTAAGTATCTCCAAAACTGACGCGTAAAATATCAATATTTAAAAGATTATTCAAAATCCGTGTAAAAATGTAATAATTGAGAATTTAGAAAGAACACTTTTGTGAAATAACTTGTTTGCAGGTAATGTTGTGAGTACCTAATATTAAAATTACATATTATATTGCAAGCGAATAACGACAAAATTTCACGGATGGTTAGGTGCAATCGTACATATTCAAAATACTGAAATATGTAATCGGATGCTTATTTTCGATTGAAGTTAGTAGGTTAAATTGCTCCAAACAGTGGATCAGTCAACGGCAATTTTTAAAGATAGAATCCACTCGCCGCACACCGGTCGGCGCACACCTGCACCGAAACCGGTTTTCGAAAACATGATTTCACTCTCTCAACAGAGCATCACTGGCGTTGCCTAAAATACGAATTACATTTTCTCTGTCTCTATATTTTTTTAATTCTACGCTCCTATCTGTTGGCTTTTGGTATAAGCTTACTCCAAATGTTAGATTATGCATGACCTGTGTAAAAAAGTAACTCGTATTTACCATCGCATTGCAGGGGTAAAACATAAAAAATACTTTAAACGGTTTTTAATAAGGCTGGTGAAAACTTTTTAAAATTATAAAAGTCGGTCAAAGTGTAGGGCACTGTTCTACTTAACTAAGTAAGATACCACCTAATTTCGTGAAAAACAACCAAATTCAAATTATGAATTAATTAACAGTAGCTAGGCAACGTTAATTTTTCCTTAACAATGTTGAAATTCGTCGGCTATCTCTATTGTGGCAAAACACGCGAACTTTCCCGTAGATTATTTAAAATGGTGTTTCTTAGGCCTGCGAGATTTATGTCGATTCTAATCCATTACGAATAAATATACAGGGAAGGTGCCTAAGTTATAAAGGGTATGCTTAAAAAGGCCTCGGAATTTTGGAAGTTAAGTCATTTCTTATGTATTAGAATGAACCTTTGATACATTATTCCTACCTTACACTATGTTGCCCTTATCAAAAAAATTGACGTTACGGACGGCAAGTCAAGCTACACAAAAATTAATTTTAAATCTTCAATACCTTTCAGCTGCAAGCTTACCGACACAAAAGCAAATTTAATATTTAGGGTAAACGACCCAATCATAGACTTTGCGCAAACAGGTACATAATATAGTGACTTTCCAAATCAATTTATGGCGCGTACATACATTTTTCATAATTTGGATTTTTTTTACTTTATTTGCACCATAATTAAACAGGTTACCGAGTTACACTTTAGTTTAAAAACCCAGTTTCCTTGTTAATTTTTAAAACGCAGATGCAATTAAAGTAATTTTGAAAAAATCTGAATTTCACCACCTGCATTATAACACCACTTTGCAGTAGTTCGCGGCGTGCTGTAATTGGATAGATTATGCAGTAACAATTAGGATTTTGAAATTTCATATGCTAGAATTAATCACGTAAAACGGGAATAGTACCCAATTAGACTCGCGTTTACATAATGTATTAAAAAAATTAAATAGATTTACCTATTTATTTCAAGTGACCGACAGCGATACATTGAAAATATTAGTTATTTAAAGATTAAATTAAAAAAAAAGTATTTTTTTTAATGTACAAACGACTACAAGCAGGTTTCGTCTTACGAAAGTGTGCGAAGACAACATGAGTAAAGTNGCGAAGACAATATGATGAAAGTAATCAGACATTAATTTTCTCTAATTGACAATGTAACATTGTTATTAGTTTTCACAACGGTAGATAATGTCAGATTTTCATGATTACACATGCTTCTTTTTGTCGACAGGGTCTGCAATAGTGATGATGTATTGTATATAACAAGGCTCAGAAATCGCAAACATATTCACGTAAACGAGCGATAACCCGCGATGTAACCTGGTAAATGAGAAGGTGGTAGGTGAGTGATGATTCGTAGGTAGTTCTCAGATAAATATAATTTGATATAATTATAAATAAATACTACCCCATCAACATCGCGCTGGATACATACATACCCATCATATAATTAATACCTACCTTTTGGGCGCAGCTACCCCAAAAATTGTGAATACATTTATGTGGTGGTGTAAAATGGAATAAAAAATTGCCACTGGTTAACTACAAAGGCTTCAGTCGTCGGTTTACAAAGGCTAACCGCTTAGCGCGAAATTTTTTCTGTCATGTTTTAGGTAGATTACTTATGTGAGATTTCCGGGGACTGACGGTGGATAGGAACAAAGAGGAAGGCGTTATCTGCCACGCGCAGCACGCAACGAGATGAAGACTAAAGACTTTCCTTTCAGTCAGTACATTTGCGATTCTACATAATTAATGTCCTTACCATCTTGTCTCTTCTTGACACCAGACCAGATTGACATTTCTGCGCGTACAAAGCAAAACAAACACCAATTAACCGATGGACGAATTTACGAGTTATGCGTCCCCAAAACAAACAAAACAACAGTCGAATTTTAAAAATCACTCGTTTGTGAAGAATGTCACCACGTGTATCTGGTTTAAGATATCGTTTGGAATAATAATGTAGAAAAATTGAAGCTGTACGTGCTGCCAAATCGCGATATTTCTAGTGCTGCTATCTCAAATTGCAATTTGAAACCAGACGTTATTTTAAAATGCATGGCTTTATAAATACATCGAAAAGGACAATATTAACGGAGTTCATATAATATCTTATACCTTCCTTTGCCTTTTATCATAATATTTTATAGAATTGACAGATTAAAAAGGTAAAACATCACAAACAGTTGTAAAGCATCCCGCTTTGAGTTAGGTACCAGAATGTTTGATGTTATTATTACTAAAGCAAACATAATAATTGCTTTAGTAATAACCTCCCTCAATTTTTAAACTTATTAGAAGTATTAATAACTCAAGGACTCTCTGAGACAACCTAGTCTGGACTTCTGGAGCGCCAGACCTAAGATTAATATTTTCTTCCGGTTGCTGCAAACCTAATGCAAAAGTCATAGTTAGTATCTTCTAGGTTTTTTTTTCTTTTTTGACAATAATTAAATTACCTATTTAACTTTACTTTTGTGTACTTTTTAAGTGCAAGGCGATAACTCAAATTTTATTATATGTATTATAAGCCTCAAAAAAGTTTTGTAAAAAGTTGTATCGAAAATTCCAAGAGTTTTAGATAAGACCCTCTAAGCGATTTTCTTTGTTTGTTTTATGTAGAGAGATCTTTTTGTTTCTTTTATTACTTACCCGCTTTGTGCAGACTTTTTTTAACTTTGTTATTCCGATTGTTGACTAAACCTTATTCGTCGCTGAGCGCCAGTCACCAGACGCACCAGTCACCATGGCCATTAACATTCTACAGCTCTGCGGGTTACAAGTTTGCAGTTCTCTAACGGCGTGCAGCCATGATTGTAACAACTTAAGTTTAAATTCAAGGATCACCAGTTCAAACTCGGGATACAACTTTGCACATTTAATGAATGATATGAACCATACATAATCTTTATTAGCAGAAACAACAATACACTGACCATGATTGATTGGAGTTCTGTCAATAAAAGTAATTGTCACAACACAAACAAAAATCCACTTGTATTTAAATTTGCGGCTGTTGTGGGCACAACAGTTCGTCTCATTTATTCTTCCATTGTAAACAGCTTTTGGCAATAATTCTGATTCATTGTTCAAATTTTTCATCGGTTGAAGTAAAGCTGAACTTGCAAAATAAAGTTGAATTTCGTGAATCACCTGTGAATAGTTTTGGGATCTACTTTGTCTACATTTAACAATTTTCTATTTGGTTGCAAAATCTAAATGTACTGATCACGATTGAATTCAATAGAAGCCTTTGTCACAAAAGTTTGCTTAAACTTCGTAATGGTTTCCAACCGAGCATGCAAAATTTATTTTAGTATCTTACACTAGTGTCTCTACTGGCTAGTACTTAAGTTTAATGAAAGCAAACACGTACATGCATGCATACATTTACATTCTTAGAAACACACAGGCTCGCAGAACGACACGCGGCCGTGAGAAGCGTCGTCGCCGTTGAGTCAGAAAGTAAAGTAGGCAGCCGCTTACCTGTACAAATCAGCAGCAAAGTAAACGGTGAAAGCAGCCGGTTAGTCCCCATGGTGGCAGTTGGCACTTATACATACAACTTTCTAAGGAATATTTGAACACTTTTCAACGATTCTTACGCGCCCATCTTTCACTACTTTTTTTACAAAACTTTAACATAACTGTCTTGCATTCTTACTAAATCCAGTAAATATGTGCACTTCTGTATGTCACTTGTATCCGAGTCAGGTGAAACAATATACACAAACTCTTACAAACTAAGTTCACTTCAAGCACTATCACATTTTTCAATCCTCAGGGTAAACTTTGGCGCGAGATCCGGCAAAATGAGCAACAGACACGTCACGTTCGAGCAACGGTCGGCTCAAGGCTGGCGGTAAACTGCTGAGAGTGAAAGAGACAGCACAAAGTTTCCATCGGGCCGATCCGGTTTATGGAAGTAGCAACAACGCAACGAACGAACGCCCGAGACGCCATTACCTGAGCATATCACGCGTTTGGCAGTAGATGGCGGCACTGTTGTAATTTAAAATTCTATGCAGGTTTAGTTCAGTGTCTTGTTTGGAGTGTTGACCGTGGATAACGATGAATAGAGCTATTAGGAGTAGTTGGGAAGCGGTGCCTACAGTTCGTAACATGAAAGCTTTGAGATTGGGATACGTGCCAATCAGGTAAAACCGTCGAAATAAGTAACGAATATGTCATGAAAATGATGAAAATCAAGTAAAATTACAGTTGGGATCCTTACATTATTTGATTTTTTTGTATCAAAGTGACTAATTAAAAATAATTTGTTTTAAATTTTGTTTCCATGACTGGACCCTATTACAATACATTTACCCTAATCAAATTATAGTCACTCATTCATAATTTGTAAACTCGCCATGATTGGACTCTTTACAACTATAATAGGTAATGTTAGAAGTATTCGCTCTTTTTTTTTTAATTTAGTAAAACACTAATCAACATCATAATTATATACAGGGTGTTTTTTCTTTGTGGCACGAAGCAACTAAGTATACATAAATGTTGATTAGAATATCTTCTAATATAAAATTCTCGTGTCACAGTCACAGCACAGTGTTTGTAAAAACATAACCCTCCTTCTGGAGCAGTCGGGTACTAAAACTTCAACGAAACGGCTTGACCGATTCTTATAAAATGAGAATAGGACGTAAACTATTTTTCACACCTGCAAATCAACGTTTGCTGGGTCAGCTAGTTTTACTACGAAAACGACATCGAAAAATTGCAGCTGCTTCTCGCAAAATCGTCGAAAGCTGGAATTTAATTACGCGATTTGGGTGTTTATCGTACTAGGCTGTCTCGTTGTCTGCTTCGCCCAGTAATAATGTCGGGCCTTAACATATTACTTGCAACTGTCTTAACTTATTAGGCTGGGTCCACCTTGCAATTACTTTCGCGGGGATTTTTCAGGACTTCAGGTCTTCAGGTTTGCTTGCACAGGTCTCAGGAAGAAACTGGTAGACTAATGGTCACATAAGGGCTTACATATTTCTTAAATGGTCGCTATACTTATACCGACTTACTTAACTCAGATCGAAATTGATCTAACGCGGGAATGTTCAAAGAAAGCCAGAAAGTTAAATAAATAAAAATTAATTATTACTAATATTTTAACTTTAACCTTTGATTGATTAGTGTGTTTTGTATTTTAAGTTTCAAATAAACCTTTCATTTATCATTAGAGTATGTAACTACATTATCATCATTTTTTTGACTTTGATTTATTGTAGTAGAAATAAGTAAATTACCTTCGTCATGTTTTTGAAATATTTTTTTGTAAAAAAGCAATATTATTGAAATAGTTGTAGCCAATAAGTTGTATATTATATTAAAGATGAAGCTGATACGATTAATGTAATTAACAGTTCATAAAATTAATGAAATGAGAAATAGCTTGCTTCAATAAGTAGTCTGAAATAAATTTTATCCACATGTACATAATTTGTTCACTTGTAATAATAACATTGGGCGATTAACTGAATTTCTTTGTAAATATTATACACGCCACAGTTACTCCTGTGAAATCAACTTTGATCTCGAAAATGTGTTAGATTTATGTAAATAATAGGGTAAGTATATGGAAAATTTACTTCAGCAACGGCAGCGTTTGTGACAATACTCGATATATTTTCACTCCTGAAAGCATCGGGTCAAGTTGTAGGTAGCATTGAAGGAACCTCTCATACACACAAGGGTCAAAGCTCTTGCTTTTATCCAAACACTCAGGATCTCTTTCCGGTTGTATTATTTACATTGAAACAGCCAAAAAATGCGATACGTACTTGGATATTTGTAAGTGAAAAGAGCCTCGATAGCAACGTCGAACTCTTAGTATTTATTATTCTTTACTTTTCTTTAGTACCTAGTCAAAGAATGGTTTCCTCTAAATGGAAATTGGTCACCTCCATTTATTCATCAAAATACTTGTATTGAATAATTAGATAACACGTACCTTAGTCATTACAAGCACCGATGACTGTGTAACTAATTTCTTGCTAATGACAATATTATTTCTTATTTAATAGACCAAATCATTAGAAGAACGGACACAGACCTGACCATTAATTAGCGTGATGTATCTATTGTGGTAACATTTTGTTTGATATTGCGTTCTGGCTATAAATGTCACTAAATAAAACGAAATTATAACCAGCGTACAGTCTGATGTACACAGAAAGGTTAGGTACACTTAGGTACATACACTGAATTGAACTTTCCTATTTGAATTTAATCAATGCCTAACTGTAAAAGTTCGCCGTGAAAATCCACGTACTTACATATCTAAATAACTCTTCTTCAGAAACTTAAATAGCCGTCAGACGTTCAAACGAAATTAAGTAAATAGAGTAGAAATTATTTTCAGCATTTCAAGGTGTCATGAAACTAAAGTTAATTAATTAAATAACACCAAGATAATTCATATTATTATACTATAATTAAAGCGATCGCTAGGTGAGGTTTACAAAATTGAGAAGTAGTTCGTCATTTAGATCCAGAGGGGGGGTAAAAATACTGCAAAAAATCCCTCTTTGTATACAACTTTCTTCTTCTTACACATTCTATTGACTGAGAAAAAAATAATGGTTAAGGACCAACAACAATAAAATTAAAAAGGACTTTCAGGAGTTCATTCCTTTAACCGTTCAAAACAAATAATTATCCGGAAACTTGGTTCTAACGGGCTGCTTTAGGCGCCGTAGATTATACAATACACACACTGATTAAACAAACTTGGGGAAATATATTGTGTTTTTGCCCCCCGTTAAAACTTCTTGGCATTTTCACGGACTGTTAACGTACGGTGTATAACTCTGTTTTATTTCCCTGCGGCCAGAGTTGAACAAGAAAGAAGCCAAAGCACTTAGGTTTGTGTTTGATTGTTGCGGAAAATGTTTTGTAATAGTTGCCAAGTTTATTGCCAAAGTTTGCGCTTTAATAAAGGCTAAAAGGCAATTCAAAAAATGGACGCTATAATCATTTTCTTCCTGAAATGTTTATTTAAACAAAGTAATTTCTTTGACAATATTTTGATAACTGTGGTCGACCTACATTAAATGTAGNGACCTACATTTATGTATGTAACTTCCTCATAAATATTAGCAACGTTTTAGCTACACAAGTCACGTCTCGATGATTTTCCTCTTTTGCTACCTTTAATATACATACTTTTACATAACGATCTTCTGAAGTAGGCTCATTTAATTGTTATTTTTTGTTAATTGTTGGGACAATTTCATAATTAAGAGTTACACTAAAAATTATGAAATACATGTAGGTACTTAGTCTAAAAACTGAAGACTGTAAGACGTTGCTTCTTAGATCGCTTCTCTAAAAATTAAACGTAGCTTTCACAAATCTAACACAGTTAAGTGAATAATTTACATAATGATTGTGTATCCGTTACATGAGCCACAAGTGACATAATTTTGAACATCGAAATACTTACCTACTCGTACTTGCCTACTTAATTAATAAATTACTTGCAATTATTTTACATATTAAGCTAATATCCCCGTGCTATTCAACGTACGCATTACAACAAAATTCTAAGTTCAAAACCGGATCAGAGCTGCGAGAAGAATGTTTTTACTTGGCATTTAATTATAAAGTTTGTAAGTATTTAGGTACATCATTAAACTCGTACGAACTTGTTAAGTATACATGTAGGCTGTGTTTATTTTCCGACAGCATTCATTGTTTTAAACATGACAGATTTGTCCTTTAATTTTACCAGCTAATATTATAATATCTTAAAAAAACGTGGTATTATTAGGGATATGATAGTGAGATCTTATCAATGCATTCAATTATAATAAGGTACCTCTGTTGTAGAAAAATAAATAAAACTGACAACATCGTTCTTTTTTAATGGAGTTGTGGGCACCTCGATTACCTTAATGTAATTTTCTAAGAAACCTACAATACAATCGCACAACAGCACACTGAAGCAGATGATAAATGTCTTCTACAAAATAAACAGGAAATACTTAAGTACTAATCAGGGTATTCTTTGATGTGTCTCATAATGTCTTAGTTCTTAGATTTTCCAAGCGCGAACAAGACAAGAACACGAAGTAGCCAACTACTCAGAACTCTGGTAAAACTACGTCATTTCGCTAAAATATAAAATATCATGTGTGACATTTTACGGGAAATATGAAGCTTATTATGTACTTCAAAGAAGCTGTCGCACATCCGTGGGACCAGTGCGTTTACTGGGAAATGTAATATTTTAAGTATGAACTTCTGGTATTGGCATTGAGTGACAATTTTTCTCTATTGGTACTCGCAAAGATGAAAACAAGTTGTAACATAAATAAAAAGGAAATAAATATATATCCTTCGACATTTTACACTACGGCGTGATCTAGTCCCTAAGCCTAAAACTCTTCAGCAGTCCGTTACACAGCTTAGATCGAATAAACACTAACGAGTTGATTGTGTTTGGTCGACATAATACAATTATTCCTCAATATTGGAACCCGAACTAATAACATCGCACTAACTAACGTTAAATTTCACTTTTGATTAAGGTCAGAGTGACGTTTGTTAGAGCAAGGAGCCCTACTACCTGAATACAAATGAATCCTGTAAATCCATTTCAGCTCTATCAATCCTGATTTAATATACGTGTAAATAACAACGCTTTTTTGATTCACTTAGACACTGTTTAACTGTAGACTATATTATGTTCGCTAGTAAAGTTTATAGCATGCAACATTGCTATGTTGTTTTGCTATAGGTAGGTATATTTTTTCAGAATTAGACGTGGGACTCTGAAGTGTTTAGCTCTTTATTTACAATAAACAGATTTTTTTTTAAACTAAGGCAAACTCTGAAGTTGAAAAAATAAGTTA